AAATATGCCTTGGGAACCTAATGTGCCAGGCAGTCTGCTAATTGCTTTTACTTTAACTAATTAATGGCCAAAGATTTCCATGAGCCTGAATCGCACGATCACCTCTCTACTCCCATCTTTCTTGACCTCGCAGAAGCATTTGACATAACTGATCCCGGTGTCTTTCTCAATCACTCCCTTCTCTTGGCTTATATGCTTACTCAACGCCACCCCTTGGTTTTCCTCTTACCTCCCTGGCAGCTCATCCTCAGTCTCTTGTAAAAGGCTGCCCCCTGTTCCCCCCGACCCCACTGGCAAATGCTGACGTGCCCTTGGCCTCCATCCTGGACTCTCCACTCCTCTGCATCTATATCTTCTCTCCTAAGTGACTTCACCTTGTCCCATGGCTTTAAAGACCACGAGATGCTCATGACTCCTAAATTTCTATCTCCAGCCCAGACCTGTCCCCTGACTTCCAGACTCAGGTATCCATTTGTTACCAGGCTTCTCTAACTGTGCGTACCATAGGCATCTCAATCCGGACACATCCAAAAGAGACGTGTGTTTGGTCTTTCCACACCAAACCTGTTCCTTCCTGAGCCTTTTCATCAGTATGTGTCACCACTATACCCTCGGCAGCTCGAAACCAAAACCTAAGTTTGCTCAGAATCCTCCCTTTCTGTCACCTCTCCACTTTCAGCCTCTCAGCAAGTCCTCTTAGCCTTACCGCCTCAGTAGATTCTGTGTCTGTCCACTTATCACGCCATCACTACCCACCCAAGCCCCGGTCAGAGCCACTATCGTTTCCTCCCAGACCATGGCAAGGACCTCCTAAATGGTCCCAGAGCTTCTTGGCCTGCCAACCCTTTTAGCAAATTAAGACCATAAACAGAGTATTCACTTGCCTGCTTAGAACTGTCTACTAGCTTCCATCACACTTAGAATGAAATCCAGGCTCTCTGCCCTGGTCTGCAAGGCTCTCCATGATCTGGCCCCAGCCTGCCTCTTCGGCGTCACCCTCCACTCTGTTTCCCAGCTCACCGAGCTCCATCCACTGGTCTTTTTTCTCTTCTTTGAACACACACGGTTGTCCCTATGTCAAGGTCTTCCTACTTTGATATCATCTCTCTGTTTGGCTCCTCTTGACAATTCGGGTCTCAGTTCAAAGGCTTTCCCTCACCACCCTGGCTACTCGTTAACCCTTTTAATTTTCTTATAGCTTTTATCAGTGTCAGAAATTATCTCACTCATTTGTGTACTAGTATATATTTTCTTTCCTCCCTTCACGCTAGGATGTAAGCTCCCTGAAGGCAGGAATGAGTGGATGTTGAATAAATCTTAGTTGAGCAAGTGATTTCTGGAGTCCTCGTTAAGAGGCACAAGTCTGGATCAAACCCCAGGCGTCACTTGTTCTTTGGTGGCCGCGGAGTATCATTCCTCCTCTTAGCTAGTTTCCTCATCTGTAAAATGTGACAGATACTAGGATGCCCCCCATAGCGTTGTCAGGACCTTGGCTTACTTTCTGGATATAGCAAACGTCACAGAAGTTCCCTATGATTCTGGCTGCTGACACGACTACATCACGACTATGGCTGCTTTTCCCCCGTTCCTGCTCTTAGACACGTTTGGAAGGGAAGTAAGAGAGCATCATCTTCATGACCATAACAAACACGGAGTTCTTATCAGTGCCTGGGCCAGGCACTGTTCTAAGGCTTCATGGTGTCTTCTCATTGAATCCTCCCATGCCCCCTAATAAGGTAAGTGCCGCTACTAGTCATATCTTATAGGTGAGCAAATTCAGACACAGAGAGGTTAAGCAACCCGGTTAAGATCACACAGTTAGGCCGCGGACAGAGACTGATAGTGGACACCATGTTGATTTTCCTTCCCTATCTTGGCCCTTCTCTGAGGTCATCCACTACTGTCAGTTTAGTTTGACAGAAGAGAAGAAACAAAGCAGACATGTTCTGGGCTGTGCTTACAGGGAACGCTATAGACTGAATGACTGTGTCCCCTGAAATTCGGATGCTGAAACCTAATCCCCAGTGTGATGGTATTTGGAGAAGGGGGTTTGGGGAGGTGATTAGGTCATGAGAGTGGAGCTCTCATGAATGGGATTAGTGACCTTACGAAAAAGAGACTCCAAGGCTGCCTCACATCCTGCTGCCATGCAAGGACACAGCGAGGGAAGATGGCCATCTATGGACCAAGAAGCTGGTCTTCACCACACGCTGGATCTGCTGGTGTCTTATCTTGGACTTCTCAGCTTCCAGAAATAAGTGTTTGTTGTTTAAGCCGACCAGTCTGTGGTATTTGATTATAGCAGCCCGAATGGGCTAAGACAGGAAATGTCATCCTGGGCTCCCCACCCCCTGGCCCGCCCCAGTACCTAAGACAGGTGCCGTCAACGGTGTGTGTCCCAGTACCTAAGACAGGTGCCGTCAATGGTGTGTGAATCTCCTCTTTCTGCCCTTGGAGTACCCAGCGGGCTCTCCTGTTATCCACCAGGCTTCTCCCAATTATAGAAGTAAAACTACAACCTTGAGGAGTATCTGGAAAATAGGAAAGCTGCCCGAAGTCTGCTGCCCTGACATCATCCCTTTCATGAAGAGCCCCAGTCTTTGTCTACACGTATTCTTCACAATGCTGAATTCAGGGTGGGCTTGTAATCTTGTGTGCTGCTTTAACATTTATCATAGGCATTTCCCCACCGGCTCCATCTTTAACCGTGTTCACAGGTAGTTGGCAGGTTACATCTCTACGGATCTTCACAGGAACCTCTTTCTCTAGTCCCACTCCCATTTGAGGGTTCCAACTGCTACTTTTCTTTTTTTCTTAAAATTTTTTTTTAAAGATTTTTATTTATTTATTTTAAGTGGAGTATAATTGATTTACAAGATTGTGTTAGTTTCAGGTGTATAGCAGAGTGATTCAGTTATATAAATATGTACCTGCATATACATACATATATATTTTTTCAGATCCTTTTCCATTATAGGTTGTTATAAGATATCGAATATAGTTCCCTGTGCTATACAGTAGGCCCTTGTTGTTTCTCTGCTTCATATATAGTGGTATGTATCTGGTAATCCCATACTCCTAACCTGCTGCTTTTCTTTCATGCTGTAAAAACAAACTACTTATTCAAGACCCCCTCCCCTTATGAGTGGTTTTTGAATAGGAAACAGGCTTCTTAGCACCTCATCGCCTCTAAAATCAGTTTAAGTCCTCTTTGCTCAGAGAGCAAGTATGTTTCGGCACCATAGGAAGGTATCCAGGCACCGTCACCATAAAACACACGGAGGTCACGGGGGAGGTGTAGAGGCTCCACATACAGGTTTTTATTGCCCCTGTCCTCTGTCCCCCACCACGTTCAATAACAGTCACACACACTGTGCTCACGACAGGTCAGGGGCTGCACTAAGAGCTGGTCCATGCCCACTTTTCACCCTTACCACCTGGAGGAAAGGATCAGCATTGGCGCTTTGCCCAGGCTGCCTGCAACGAGCGGGCCTGGGACCCACACCTGGAGCTGTCAGCTCCAGGGACTGTGCTCTGGATGACTTTCAGGTCTTCTATTAGGGGCTGAATTGTGTACCCCCTCCCCAAATTCTTATGTTGAAATACTAATCCTCAGTACCTCAGAATGTAACCATATTTGGAGGTAGGGTCTCTAAAGAGGTAATTAAATTAAAAAATGAGGTCATGAGAGTGGAGCCTAATCCAATATGATGAGTGTCTTTATAAGAAGGGCAGTTCTGAACACAGACAGGTGCAGAGAGAAGATGATGTGAAGACACAGGGAGCGGATGGTCACCAGCAAGCGAAGGAGAGAGGCCTGGAAGAGATCCTTTCTTCACAGCCTTCAGATGAAACCAACCCTATTGATACCTTGGTCTAGGACTTCTAGCCTCCAGAACAGGGAGACAGTAAGATTTTGTTTTTCTAAGCCCCCCAGTTCATGGTATTTTATTATAGCAACTCTAGTAAATGAAAACACCTTCTTTCATCTGTCTTTTCCCACCTGCCTGCTTTTCTACCACAGTTGTTCAGTGAAGCCCCATTTGTAGCTGGGTTGGTAATGCAGGGGTTGGTAAAATAAAGTCCCTGCCCTTAGGGAGATTACATTCTAGTCAGGGAGACAGAGGAAGAAAAACAAACATCTATAGCTGAGTACTAAGAAACGCACAAAGAAATAAAATAGGGTGATGCAGTAGAAATAGGGTGCAGATGGGGGGAAAAGAGAAGTCCTCTCTGAGGAGGTGATGTTTTCCCAGAGACCTACAAAATGAGAGCAGTCTAAACAAGGGAGGGCCTGGTGGGAGAGCATTCCAGGTAGGGGAAGAGCCTGTGCAAAGGGCCTGAGGCACAAAGGGGTTGGTGTGTTGAAGGCACAGGAAGCAGACCAGTGTGGCCAGACTACAGGGAACTGAGGATGGGAAGGTGGACAGGGGCCAGATTCCTGTGGGTCTTGGAAAGGAATTTAGATCTAATTTCTCTCTCGTTCCCTTGGTTGTCATTCATCACACCTGGCCAGTTTCTTCACTCAACTCCCAGTACTCACGCATTAAAAGGGAACAGCAAGATTCAGGCCAGCCGCTGCTGCTGCCATCAACACCCTGTTGTTTCAGCCATTAGAATCTCAAACTGCAGATACAAGCCTTGTCATTACCGCCAGAAGCGACGGAAAAAAAACCTGAGAGATGAGGAAGAGAATCATCCTTTCCAACCCCTGCTGAGTATGCAGAGCGAGGGACGTATGGAAATTAATATATGCAGCTCTGATGACACGGAACTCCTCGGCATTTTGATTAAACATTGATGGTTGTTAAATACCCTCCTTCTCGGAGTTCATCTCCGAAAGCCAATGTTGCTTTTCGTTTTGAACTCTGATGAACTGTCTCCATTCCGTTCGCACAGCCGGGCTGAACCGTGGTCGACGGAAGGCTGGTGTTGGAGGAGGATGGAGAAAATCAATATGAAATGTCAGGTGCGGGGTCAGATTGAACTTGTTTTCCCAGCTGGCGGGAGCTCGGGCTGCTGCCGCTGCAGCAGCCAAACAAAGGGAGATGCACAGTGACGAAGGTCGGCACTTTGGACGAGTCAGGAAAATGAATTTCGTTCGCTTCTTAATTAGATTAGGAGGCTGGCGGCTGGCAATTCAGAGCACTGTTGGTGTCGGGATGGGGCGTGGGGAGGCAGGGCTGCAGCAGGGGTCTGCAGGTGGCCAGCTAGCTCCCAGCCTCCCTAGGGACTGTCCCCTGGGCTCTACTTCTCGAGGGCTGTGAGGGACCAAGGCTGCAGAGAGAAGCAGCCTCCAGGGGGCTCCTGGGTGTGAGGGCTTGATGACCCTTCCCAATATTTTCCCCAGGGAACGTCTGAGTCTTTAGGTAGCAGCTCGGTGGTCACGGCCTTGCGGCATAAGGTCCTTGTCACATCCCCTCACGACACCACAAGACTCTTTTTCATACCACTTATTACAGTCACATTGTCACTATCTATCTGTGATTCTCTGATGAATGCGTCTTTTCTCCTTAGACAGTGTGATAGTTCATCTTATGCATCAACTTGACTGGACCATGGGGTACCCAGATATTTTGTCAGACATTATCCTGGGGGTTTAGGAGGGTATTTTTGAATGAATTTAACATTTAAATTAACAGACTGAGTAAAGCAGATTGTCCTCCCTAATGTGGGTGGGCCTCATCCAATCAGTTGCAGGCCCGAATAGAACAAAAGGCTGACCCTCCTCCCAACAAGAGGGAATTCTCCTGTGTGACTCCTTCGAGCTGGGACATCAATTTTTTTCCTGCCTTCGCACTTGGACTGGACCATCAGCTCTTCCGGGGTCAAGAGTCTGCTGGCCTTTGGACTAAAACTACCTCATCGGCTCTCCTGCGGCTGCCCCACTGAAGATCCTGGGACTTGTCAGCCTCCATGATTGCATGACCTTAATTGCTATGAATACTTATAACAAATCTTTCACATTTATATATACATACACATGTGTATATGTGTATGTGTGTGTGTATATATATATATGTATATGTGTATATATATCTGCTATTGGTTCTGTTCCTCTGGAGACCCTCACTAGTATAGACCTTGAGCTCTAAGAGGGAGGAAAGCAGATCTGGTTTTGCTCACCATTGTGTCCCCAGAGTCTGGTACAGTACCTGACATATAGTATGTGCTCAACAAGTACTAATTAAATAAGTGACTAATGGGGCTTGTGGACACGGAATAAAGGTTGGAGGTTCAGGCCTCTTAGAGCTGCAGGTCTGGAACCAGGGGGTACTCAGGAGGCGTAACTGTGGTAACTGCTGCTGCCGTTCACTGTCTCCTGTGTGCCTGGCAGAGGGTTAGGCTCTTATACACTTGAGGACAGTTACTCCTTGGGAACAGCCAGCCCTATGAGATGGTCTTTATTATATTATTTCTATGTTCAGAGGAGGAACTTGGGATTCAGAGGGATTCCAAACTTGATTGGGGGTCACACAGCTGCTGAGCGACAGAGCTGTGTCCTTATTCCAAAGCTTCTTCTCTAAACAATTCTAGCTCTGGAAATGCCTAAGGCCTTATCCTGTTTCCATCTTGAGTTCAGAGTTCACCAAGCCTCCCAGTCAGCTTCCCCTCCTGTGGGTCTGTCTGACCCCAGAGCCCAGGCTGGTGTCTGCCACTTTGGGCTGTGAACACACCGGGCTTCTCGTGCCATCTCTGGCATCCACTTTGGGTTGGTGGCCCCTCAAGCCCAGTCAGACAGCTTATGTCACCTCCCACACAGCATGTCCCAGACTGGTCCTCAACCGTTCACTCCTTCAGTATGGCTTCTTATTAGTCCGCCATCCACATGCCATTTATGTCAACTCTCAGGCATAAATTTATTTATTTATTAAGTCAATATTTACTGAGCACCTGTTTGTGTGTCAGTCCTTTGTGATACGCTGTGAGCAAAACAGATTCAGTTCTTGTCCTCAGCGAGTTTACAGTCTAGGGGGGAAGGATATTGAACAAGTAATATCCACGTGTGGTGAACACCAATCTCTAATATTGCTTTACATCCCCACAGTTATTTTGAAAGAAAAATGTTTCTTTTTCCCTTTCCTTTCTTTCAATTTCCATAGCTACCATCCTTTTTTAAAAATTTTTTATTGGGGTATAGTTGATTTACAATGTTGTGTTAGTTTCAGGTGTTCAGCAAAGTGAGTCTGTCATACATATACACATATCCACTCTTTTTAAGATTCTTTTCCCACATAGGCCATTACGGAGTACTGAGTAGAGTTCCCTGTGCTACCATTCTTATCTAGGTTATGAATTTCCATTGTATTGAGACTAAAGCAAAACCTTCTATTTCTCCTATGTTTCTTCCCACCACCACTGTGTTAATCTTCCATAAAACATAAATTCTATAGCTCTGTTCTCCAGCCAAATGATCTCCAATTGCTCTCCACATATTGGAGCTGTGCTTCGCAAACTGGGGCACATGTATGCATCCTCGGAGGTCAGGAAGGAGGACGATACGGGGGTGCACCATGTGGTATAGGAAGCCATAGATAAATGCTGCATCTTTTGGAAATGTCCATTTTGCTTGAAATTTGGGGATGGGTAGAAATGTAATATTTAAATTAAATGGAAAGTAGTCATTTTATGGGAATAAAATACAAAATCCATGTGAAATTTTAAGATGACAAAATAAGACTTCAAAGAAAATCCACCGTGGTCAGCACCTCCCCTGGAGCCTCAGGCCTCTGGCAGGCATGTGCAGTTTTGCCTTTGCTGAGAGGCCGGGCCACCCAGAGCACATCAGAGAGGCTGGATTGCCTTTTGGTGCCCTTCCTGCAGAGCAGCCAGGCTCACAGCCTGGGTCTTGGAGTGCTGTACTTGGTGGAAAAGTTTAAGAAGGACTGGCTACCATAGGAGCCAGACTCTGAGTATAGAGCAAGTACTCAATGAATGAATGAATGAATGGATGCAGGCATAACTTCTGATTCTGACCTTCAACGACTGACTTGATATAAACCATCATCCCTATTTGACCTCTTTTCTTCCGTATTCCCCTTTTAACCCAAGCCCAACACTTCTTGCTCTTTAAAGATTTCATGTCATTTCCTAACTTTCAGGCTTTTGCCCATTCTTGTGTGTACAACCCCAAACACCCTTCTCTCTATTTCCTACCTAACCAACTCCTACTTGTGTTTCAACACTACCACTCAGCCTCTGCCTCCCCTGTGGGGTCTACCTCCAATGTCACTCTCTCCCCCCCTTCCCCAAATATCCCAACTCCTAATAGTCTCTACCACTCATTTGGGTGTCCTGGGTACATCTTGCCTCCTCAGCCAAACTTGAAGTTCCTTGAGTGTTAGGAGATGTCTTACCCTTTCCACTGTACCCCTCAGAGTGCTTATAGTAATGGATACATCATAGATACAAGAAGATCATGCTGAAGGATTGCCAATGAGTTTTAGTCTAGATCTGTGATTCTCAGCTGGGAGCCATTTTCACCCCAGGATACATCACAATGTCTGGAGACATTTTTGGTTGTCATAACTGGCCTTTGCTGCCTGCATCTAGTGTGTAGAGGCTGGGGATGCTGCTAAACATCCTACGATGCATAGGACAGCTGCCTCCCCCAAAGAAAGGATCGGGTGCCCCCAATTCAATAGTGCATCGTTAAGAAATCCTTGCGTACGTTATAGAATCTTCCTAACCTCTTTTCTTGACTCTTTGTTCTCCCAGACAGAACCCAACCTCCAACCTTCTGCCTTCAGTCTAAGCAACTTCTCCAAAAAGTAATTCCCATCAGTCCCCTGGTTACTCTAGTGGCTGTTCACTGACTTTGAGAGAAAATTCAAGTCCATTATCATGGCCATTATGACCAGTCTCCTACCTTCCTCCTGAACTTCAACTCTTCCCTCTCCAAGTCATTCCCTATATGGCAGCCATATCAGTCACCCTGCAGTTCCCAAAGTGTTATGACCTTTCATGCCTCAGCACCTTTGCACGTGCTGATCCTTCTGCCTTGAACATTTCCCCCTTTTAGGCTTATAAGTAAGTACTGCTCAAAGATCAATACCAGCACAGATACCAGCAAACATTGATAAAGCATCTATCATGGGCCAGGTACTGTTTCAGGTGCTAGGGAAACAGCAGTGAACAAAACAAAGTAAGTCCACACCCTCAAGGAGCCAACAGTATAGATCGGTACTCTTCAAGAGAACCTTCTGCAATGAAGGAAATCTTAAATCAGCACCGTCCAATATGGTAGCTACTAGCTACACAATGGCGACTGAGTACTGGAAATGTGGATCATCTGAATTGAAATCTCCTGGAAGCATAAAACACACTTAGTATGAAACAACTCATTAACAGTTCTTAATAGTTATCTCATCTAATCCCCATGACACACCCATGAGGTGGATGTTATTATCTTACCCATTTTACATATGAGAAAACTGAGGCTCAGAAAGGCAAAGGAAAGTTGGACAAAGTCAGACGGCTAATAAGGGGTGAAGACTGCCTTTGACCTGGGTCTGTATGACTCTGGAATCCACACAGTCTACATCCCACTACACTAGACATACCAGCTCTCCTGTGCAATACTCCTCACAGCGAATGAGCAAACAGAAATGATCAAAATGACCCAGATATTCACACCTCTCCTAGCCATACACCTACACAGAGAGTCATCACATCGCTCAGGTCCCGTAGGAATTAAAATCGAAAGCTGAGGCTGTGGGAGAGAAAGGTCTTCACTCCCGGCTGTCCAGGCTGTAGTGGCAGAGTGGCACCCGGCAGAAGGTGCTGGCCAGACAAACAGCTCTCGTGGCTCCTGAACATCTTGGCAGCTGCACGGTATTTAGTCTGACACTGGACACGGGTGACCACTGCCCTCTAGGCACCTTTACTCTGGGGAGTTCTGTCTTCTAGAAAACCTCCCTGCTAGCTCCAGGCCCATTCTGGCTACCAGAGCTGACTCTTGCTTTACCCGCTTACATCGGTCTTAGCCTTTGGTCCCCAAGCACTCAGCCCCCACTAGTTCGGAGCTGCTTTGCTCAGTCAACACCCTGAAAACTCCAGCGTGATCCCAGGGCCTGTCAGCCTGGTGGACTTTATCCCATCCCTTCTCTCTGAAGCCCTTCCCTGGTGCCCACTAGAATCACTGGGCCTTCTAGGGTGCTGGTTCCCAAAGCCTCACTCTCTCCAAGAAGCCACTAACCCTTTCCCCCAGCTGCTATTTTTCTTTTAAAGTTGAGGTATAATTGACATATAACATTATATTAGTTTTAGGTGAATAGCATAATGATTTGATACATGTATATACTGCAAAATAATCACCACAATGAGTTTAGTTAACATCCATCACCATGCATAGTTACAATTTTTTTTTTTTTTTTTTATGATGAGAACTTTTAAGGCCTATTCTCTTTAGACCTTGCAAATACACAATACAGTGCTAACTTAGTGTCCTCAGCTGCTATTCTTGATTCCTGTATATTCTCAGCCTCCCACACTATCCGGCAAGTCCAGTTAACTCTACTGCCAAGATCTGTCCAGAACCCGTCCACTCCTCGCCATTTTCAGACCCTGCCCTCGTCCAGGTCACCCGCATCTCCTGCCTGGATATCGCAACCATCCCCTAACTGGTCCCCCCACTTCTACTCTGCAGGTTCATTCTCCCCAAAGCAGCAAGAGGAATCTTAAAACATAATTCAGATCATGTCACAATGTTACATGACAGGGCTCATGTCTTGTTCCTCTCTGTATTCCACAGCCGGAAGCCAATGTTTGTGGGATCAGACGTGACGTTTCCTCCTTATCAAAATACCAAACGTGGAACTGACTCCCGCGTCAGGCCAACACGTGTAGTTTCTTTACTCCCAGTGTGTCTGAGGTGGGAAAGGAGATCAAACCCCTCCAGGCCCTCTCCTTTCTCCTCCCGCATGTCAGGGGCCAGTGGCCCATCCCTGCCATGAGCCCTGGGCTGCTGGCTACTCACATTTGGTGTGCCTGTCACACAGGGCCGACGCCCGCATGTCACACAGCCGGATTGTCCCTTTGCTGCTGCTGTACACGAAGGTGTTGCAGTGATGGGGGTGGAACTCGGCCGCTGTGATCACCTCTGTGAGCTCCTCCATGTTGGCTGGCTTGATGTCGACGATATCTGGCACAGACGAGTCAAGGAGGGGACCAGGAGAACGGGAAGCCTTGGGGGTAACTGTAGCATCACCGCCTTATTTTACTGTACCATGTTAGCAATGAGCATACACGGGGGATCCTCATCATAACTCTGTGAGCAAATAGGCAGGTATTAGTGGTCCCGGGCAGATGAGGCCCAGGGTTACCCAGTGGCCATAGGTAGCACTAGAACTCAGGTCTCCCTGGCCCCTTATCAGGATTTCATCCCTCATAACATGTAGATGCCCCATCACTCAAAGTTACCTGCTCATGCAATCATGCTAAAGTGTATCAAGTTGCAAAGGCTTTCATTTCTCATTTTACAACAGTGGTTAAGAAAGCAGCCCCATTCCAACTAAATAATCCAATATATTCCAACTAAATAATCCAATATATTTGAATCATTGAGCACTGACTATAGGTCAGTCACTGTGCAAAATCATATCATGTACTTTATTTCATTTAATCCTCATAACAGCTCTATAATCAGCACTTTCTTACCCCCATTATTTCAAGGGGGGAAACGGAGGCTCAGCGTGTGTAAGTAACTTGCCCCAAGTCACATGGCTAAAGAGTGGCAGTACTAGGATTTTATCTCAGGTGCAAGATTTGTACTCTAGTAATTACGCAAAATTTCTCTTATTGAAGATGTACAGGACCTCAAGCCTCTGTAAGCTGTGATTTGCTTTAGAGCTTATGTGGGAGTTTAAGCATTAAAAAGAAGCCATCCAATTGTACAGCATGACAGTTTTAGCCTCCAGTGGAATATACCGTTGGTTTTATCATCGGGTTATTTCCTCCTCAGTATTTTCCTTTCTGATCAAGAATTATGATACATCTATTTTTAAAGACCACATCCTTGTGTATTGAAATGAAACATTTGGCCTTCCATCTATGACGGTGACCCAGTGGAAACAAACGTCTTCAGTGGGAGTGAGTTTGGGCTGATCCCTTCCCACCTCTACTGATAGCTCGGGAGACCTGGGTCCAGGTACGGTGGTACCTGGCTGGGGCTGAGGTGCTGTCCAAGGACCCAGCGACTTCCTGCAAAGGAACAGGCCTTGTGATGTGGATGTTGTGAACCAAAATGATTCTCACTTTTGAGTCACATTTGTGATTTCGCCCCACCTGTATATCACTAGGTAGCATTTTTTGACTTAACATTTTTTCTCCACATCAACTTAAATCGACTCACTTTTTTCTTTACTTAGCCTTGCCTAAGCAGTAATCCAATATTCATAAAATCATGGGTTTAATGAGCTAGTTACATTTTAAATAATATACCATACCTAAGATAAATGCTTTTAACCATTAAAATGAACATATTTATGTCTGTGCCAGGAGCTTATATATCACATTTTGGAAAACACTGCATTGAATCAACAAGCAGTAACTTGATACAGATAATGCTATTAGACTAGGTTGGATAAAAGTCTCCTATGCTTTTCGTGAAGTTGGGAGCATAATCTCCTCCTTAGAGTTTAGATGAGGTACGAGTAATTGTACTGATATTTTTAGTCACGTTAGCACTAATAAAGTAGTCATCTATTATCAAACATCACCCATGCTCCGGCATGTAATCTGGTGCAATAATGGCTGTATATTTGTTTGTGCCTCTTTCCCTTTCAATTGCCTTTTATAAATCCTGTTGGGTTTTCTTCCTAAAATTAGCTTGAGACAACTAACATTTCATTTTACTACAATTTCCCTCACGAATCCAGATGCAAATATTTCTTGGGTCTCCAGAGCACGTGGGTTCCTTTGATTCACAAAATACTACCTTTCAACTCAACTGCTACCAGAGTTATAAATATTATTGCAGTTAGCATCACTTGCTGGGGAGCAGGGGCCAGTGCCCCCCAGAAGGAGGCCCCAAGCTGCAGCTCTGATGTTCCCCCCAGTCCCATGACCCATGCCCTGGGCTTTGTGGCCACGATACAGGGTGGGGTTAAGCAGAGGTTAGTGTTCAGCTGTTGTCAGATTTTATCACCCTCCAGAAAGAGCCTCCATACCCTACTGTGCCAGTGAGCATGTTTCTCTTTTCCCAAAATAGGGCAAGAAAATCTGGTGTCAGCTTTCTCAACCTCTACCAGTATAGCTCTAAAAACAAGCTTAACTGGAAGGGATCTTGGCTGTGTGGTAGCGGGAGGTGCCACGTCTACGGTTATTTTTTTCTCACCTAAAAATAAAGCCCAAAAGTTAGAATGTGTGAAAATGAAGGGCTTAAACATACATATGAAACCGGGAACATCCTCCACCATCAAGAACTGCATCAGAACTGAGTCTGCTTAGGGCTGCTGCCTCTGGACCCTTCCTCCTTCCTTCCCTCCCATCCATCCTGGACCTCTAAGCCTGCCCACCGTCCCTCATCCCCAAGCATCTTCCTTTTGACTAGAGGGCTTCCCTGGGTCTGACTCTGTGGGGTTCAGGGGAGAAACCATGACTCCAATCGTCTTTTTAGTAACTGTAATGATAAGGACAACAAGGAAGATAATAATAAGCAGTAGTTAATGTTTATCACGTGCCATGCATTGTCTCATTTGACCTTCATCTCACCCTTATGATGTTAAGATTATTAATAGGCCTATTTTCTGGCAGAGGAAATAGTGACTGATGTTAAGTTACTCAAGGTCCTATGACCATAGAGGGTAGAGCTGGGATTTGAACCCAAGTTTGTGCAACTCTAGAGCCTGGGTTCTTGACCACACTCCACTCTCCTCGCCTGATGAATGACCCTCACAGCGCCAGCCTTTCCGAGTGATGTAATTCTGGCTCTCTGGAAACTCCCCTGGCTAATCCAACAGGGATCCTGCTTTGAACCTGTGCTCTCTCAATTCACCGACCACTCTGGGGGCTACATTTTTCAGAACCAGAATTTGGACACAGCATCGGACCTAGGATTTTTGTGTTCCCTGATGTGATTTTTTTTTTTTTTTTTTTTTTTTTGGAACCGTAAGTTGAGACAGAAACGTGAGAAGGGATTTCTTGAATTGTTAACTGCGGAGGATTTTCTGAGTTCTAAAAACATTTGGGAGAAGGAGTCTAGTTTCCAAAAATTCAATGGCTTATGGGGATGACAAGAGAGCATATTTCACATCTGCATCACCTAGAAACCCAGCCTTTTCCCTTACACTGTTCTAATGGGAGATACACGCCTCCAGCATACGTGGTTGTGCCCTTCATGTTGGGAGCGAAGGAGAAAGGAGGGGAGCAGTGCGCGGCTCCCTGTATTATCTTGGAAATGGAATGATGCTTGTTGACAGTCAATTTTCTCTCTCCTATCTTTTAGAGCTCTCTATCCAAATTATTTCCCTGCTGTCCCAAAGAACTAAACGGCAAAAGCAAAACAGAGCATTGGACTCACGGCTAATATACAAGGCAGAAAGCCAACAGATTGCTATTAAATTAACCCTGGGGCTTGACAGATCTGTTCATCCTGACCCCAACCGCTTACGGCATTCC